TGCCTGTCTACAGTCCGTCAGCTCCCTCCAGCGGATTGAGTGTTGACGTCTAATCCAGGCCTGTAGGGCAGTCCTACAGACTGTTGTTGAGGTACCTTCAACAGGCTCTGGTCCTTTGAAGTGAGCCTGACTGCCAGCTTTTGCGAGGTAGTCAGCTCTCTCATTACCATAAATGCCAGTATGTCCTGGTACCCATTTAACAGTTACACTGTTATCTCTCCCCAGTTGGTTGACTTGTTTCGGCACACTCCCAAGCCAGTAATGACGTAAAGTGTGGCCCTCTGAGAGCTCTAATAGCAGCTTGGCTATCTGTTAGGATGAATATTTCCTTCTGTATACACTGAAGGTCTTTGAGAGATGCCAAACACTGGTGGATTGCATATACCTCAGCTCGAGATACAGTTGCAAAACAACCTAGTGGTTATGCTCTCTCTTTCTATGGTTGTGCAAAATAAGCACCCCTGCACCTACTGACCCCTTCAGAAGGGATCCATCTGTAAAACAGTAGAAATGATTGGGAGACATGTCCATTGTAGAGAGGTTAATCCAGACAGACCTGTCTATCTCTGTCTTAAAACTTTGCTCAAAATTGTATTTTTTGGACCATTCTGTCTCCAGGTCCTGCAGTTACTGGAACTGTCCCAGATTCTAGTGTGCTGTGAGTCAGATAGGTTTTTCCACCTACCAGACTGGCGTAGCCTTACTGCACTGGATGCGGCCTCCCCTAAGATACAGTATGTAAATCTAGTGGAGCCAGGGCCAGTAGGACTTCCATGGCTGCCGTGGGTGTTGTTCTGTGATGCTCAGGCAGGCCATTTGTTGCACATGGGTGAGCATCACTCTTGCCACCCCAACTTGGACTCGAACCCACCACACTAAAGCAGCATGGCATAGCATGGGGCGGACTATGGCTGTGTAGATCCATCTGATAACCYTTAGGGTAGCACCCCAACGACTACCTGCAATTCTATGGCACTGGTGCAGGAACATTGCTGCCTTCTTACACTTTTCATTTACATGTCTTTTCCAGTTAAGCTTCCTGTCTAGATAGKCACCCAAGAATTTAACTGACTCTGACAGGGAGAGTTCTACACCATCCAACTTTGGAGGTGAGTAACCCTTCCTTGACTTCTTATGTGTGAAAAGAACCGATTCTGTCTTGTTCAGGTTGACAGAAAGTTCCTGCTCGTGGCACCATCTGGATACTTTTAGTCCCCTCTGCATTAGGTTACATACAGTACCCAGGCAGAAGCCTTCTATAAGTATGATCAAGTCATCTGCATACCTCTGTGTATGGAGTCTAGATCCAATCAACTCATTTAGTAAGCTGTCGACAACCAGGAACCAACACAGGGGTGAGATTACTCCTCCCTGTGGACAGCCCCGTCTGAGGTTTACGGTTATCAAACAGTCCCCCAGAGTTGAAGATGCTTTCCTTGTCCGAAGCATGAAAATGAGCCAAATTGTTGTTGTCTCATCCACGCCTTTGCTGGCAAGAGCTCTTTCTATAGCTTCTATGGGTAAATTGTTAAATGCCCCCTGTATGTCCATGTAGGGGTCACCTTGAGTTCAGTTTGTAACAGAGTTCCTGTCCTCTTGTCAGGCCTGTCCGAGTGAAGAAAATCTTTTCTTCACTCGGACAGGCCTGACAAGAGGACAGGAACTCTGTTACAAACTGAACTCTATTTAGGCCATGACAGGTCATTCTAACCGTGGAAGAGAACCCCTCAGTTCTCTTAATCAGATTATGGACAGAACAATCTCTTCTGTTTGTGATTCATTTGTTMTTTAACTAAGAATGTTTATGCATTTGTTAAATCATGATAATGACTGTCACAGGAAAAGTGAAACGACTTCTTTTCTCTTATCGTGCCATAAAGATTTATAATGGTATAAAAAAATCACAGAGAATCTGATTACAATGTTTTCATTGTGTTTTCATGCAAATCACTGTTTTTATTTTACTGTGAACACAGTAATATAATTGTGGATTTTTCCTGAGAAAATCTTTCATTTATCTGGACTGACAGAAGGTTCAGAACTGATTATGAAACAGAAATGTTACAGTTAATCATCATAAATGTTTTGCAGTAATTTCTTTTAGAGTCTTTCAGAAGGAAGCTAAAGAGTTTATCATGATGTTGCACAAGCACAGAATTTAACCTTGACTGGCACCTGCCTGGCAAATCTTTATCTTTCTTTCTCTGACTCATCTCTAAGCCTGAGGGCGGAAACAAAGTTCGTCCGTTCTTTTTACTAACCCGGACGGCTTTGAGCACACTCTGACTTCCTCATTAAAACAAGGAAGACGGCTGTGGTTCTCTTCGGAGAATCTCAGCTCTGGGCTGTAAATCTAATCCCACGAACCAATTAGGGTGGATTTTACAGCCAGGGAGCCAACAAGCCTGTCGGTGTTCCCACCCGAGGCTTCAAGCCTCCATGCGTGTGTTTTTACCTTCCAATGGGAAGATTATTTTATTTTGATGGAGAAACCGGATACGGCTTGAATTTTTCTGGCTTGGACTGAAACAGACGCAAAGTTACCTGAAAATAACACCTGTTCGTCAATGACCGGTAAGCGAGCCGACAACAGTTCACTGACTGATCGGAGGCGAGCCAGTTTTTCTACTCCGAGGGTGCCTTAAGAAGTCATCATCAGGTAAAAGGCTGATGTGTTTGGGTGACGTGTCCTGTGGAGCTGAGTCGAGAAAAGACGTGCAGATCCGGTTGACTCACACTTTGATAAAAGTAAAGTAGTAGAAATACTAACCTTACTTTCTTCCTTTCCCTTGTACTTTGATTTGCCAAAAACTTAAGCTAAAGTGCCAGTAAAATTGTTTGGTTGTTTAACATCTGAACTGACGTTTTACTGTTCTATTATATGTAATCTGAGTGATGTGGATTGAAAGTCGGACACGAGTTTTATCCCATTAATTCTGACGCTTGTTATAGGAAACTGAATACCCACAATCAAGTGTAACTTATGATCTGTTTAATTTGTGTAATGAAATGATCACATAGACATTGTTAACCAAATTGAACTCGTCTGAGTGTTCCACTTATTGTGTCATTTCACAGTCAAGATACTAACATAGTGAGAAATCCCTTGGTAAAAATTTTCCTCATAACCCTGTGTATGAGAGATGTGGGAAAAGCTTATTTCATACTAGGCTCTCTCCTACATCCAAAAAGCAGCCAAGTGCATATTGTCCACGTGCCAGGCTGCGTTCTATTCTCAAAACAACATCATGTAAGGCTGTTTCTGTAGAAAGACCTGCCTGATATGCATGTTGTTTAGGACTTAATAATATATGTACATAGTATTAAAACACTGCTGATAATAACTACCAAAATATCAACAAAAAAAAAAAACCAAAAAACACAGAGAACAACACAGTGAGTTCTGATTTGTTTTTTTGCTTTTTTTTTTCTGGTGTCTTAAAAGGTGAGGTGTCTGTTGTTCAAAAGAACTTGGATACAACACCTCATGTAGAAAAACGAGAAACTTTTTGGATGGAATGGAAAAGTTAATAAGATTTATTAAGATTTTTTTTCTTTTCTGCTGCCTTTCATTTTATTTCTGACTTYTATMATRTGTTGTGTATAATGAGTTRACTTTTTAAAAAGTTGTTTTTAAGTTCAAACTAATAAAAATGTGTCTAATATCATCAGCACCATCTCAAAACCACACAAGCACATTCACATCAATACTCTTTCCCTATTTTTCTCCATGCACTTTCCTTTTTTCATTCTATCAAATGATCATTGATGATTCTATGATCAAGAGAGATTAAGATTATATTCAAATCAAATTTATTCTTTATGATCAACACAAACACACACATGCATTTTCCTTACTCAACTTAAAGCTTCATGAACAAGTCACGTCATTATAAACTACTTCACTTGATGGTGCAGTAGAGCAAATGAAGCATGATGATGCTTCGACTCATGTCGACTAGTTGGATGGAAAGCTTCAATATCTCACCATCACTACTGGTGGGACATAAACAGCATTGAAAGTGAGGAAGGTTGAGGTTCTGCATCAGACTGTGTGTAGTTTATTAGAAATAAACCATTAGAATAAAGAATAGGCTTCTTATTACGAGGAAAAATAAAACATTAATAACTTGAATATTTATTAAAGTCATTAGTAGGCCTGTGCTCATKTTTGTCAGTTTTTAAGATACTTTTAAACTAAAGCATACTTGTAAATATAATATGAAATACTGGGACATCTTTTCACATTGTTTTATCCTTGAACTGTAGGTGGGTACAGCTCCACTCTATGAGCCAGAAGTGGTCTGCATGTTACCACCTTATTGTTACTGCTGTGCATGAACATATTCAGTGTGTTGAATTAAAATCAAGTCTAATTGAATTAATGACATAAACGGTTACTTCTCTATCAGTCCTTGGCCAACTCTGCATCCCAGACTCTCCAGTTTGCTGATGTTTCTTCCATTTTCCTGGAGGTATGAGAAAACAAAAACATTACTAACTATTGGTGTATCTCTGTATTCTCACAGAACCTTGCGTTCTTTGAAGGAATGCAGATCACCTGCCACTGTTTGTCAGTTTTAGACTGTGATGGAGTTAAAGTTGTTTTGGTCAAACCCTGTAAATGATCTTACCAGATGTTAGTGTTGAAGTATGTGTTCTCTCCAACATTAGACACTGTCCAGCCCAACAAAAGGTCACACACTCTTATACTTTGTTGTACTTTGATTACTACACACATACTCTGTGGCATTGTTTCGATAAGCTTCTACAACGTCACCAGATTTATTTCATTAAGTGTTGCATTAATATTTCACCAAGACCTTTCATTGATGATGTAGAGTCTGACCTTCTCCAGCACATRCCAAACATTCTCACTAGACTCTGTGGAGCCAATCCATGTGTGAAAATGATGTCTCATGCTCCCTGAACCWCTCTTTCACAATAAGAGCCCCATGAATCCTGGCATTGATGGAATACCCTGGTCATTCAGTATATTCAGGAAGTCAGCTGACCTCATTAAGTTGAGCACATACTGTTGCTGAACCTGGACCTGACCACCTGCAGAGACCTCACATCATAGTTAAATACAAATCTTTAAAGTAACAATCTTCTTATTTGAAAAGTTATTTTAAAAGTTACCTCAAATGATTTTCAGCGCAAGAAATAGTCTTGATACAACTTTTTCACTTCTGATACGATACAGATATTGTAGCCTTGGGTACTGACAAATACAGATATTGACCTGATACAATATCAGAATGAAAGAATCATAAGTATTGATACCAGAAAAATCATTTAWAAGTAATGATCCAAACCAGARSTGAAGTCTTAGACTTTTTAGCTAGTTGAAATATTATGACTTAAACTAGTAATAAAGTATATTTATTATTTCTTACTGTCATAAATAATAATAATCCAGTCAATGCATAGAAAATGTTCACCGCACACCTGGTTATAGGATGACACTATGTCTCTATACTGATATTAGCTAACCATCTTCTCAACAGGTCAGGTTTGTCTAACAGAAAGCTAAATATACACTTTAATATACATCATTATTTTACTGTGTAAATATTACATAAATCAGAGGTAAAACCAGCTGGTATTGTTTAATAATTTGTGTTAAATTATAGCATGAATCAGCAGAGTGCAGTTCATTAAATCACAGTGGTTACATTGTTTTCATAAGCTTATTTTGATTTTAAATGTTACATTATTAGCTTCAGTTCTGCTCACTTACTTACTTGTTAAAACATACATGTTTTCCTGTTTCTCTTCTGTTGGTTCATCTATACCAGTGGTTCCCAAACGTTTTATCTTCTGACCCACAAACTATCRATGGCGAAAACTTGTGACCCCAAATATTACTGGTCTGAGTACACGAACTTCATTAATAACCCTAAAAACACAGGCATTGTGACAATCTAYACAGCTTGTAACAAATTTAAATACTTATTTATATTTATTTTGTGTTTTGTAATAATTATAGGGAAATATTACATCAGCAATTATTTTATTACCCTTTAAATTGATTTCTGGAGATTATCCAAGGTGCTTCATGACCCATAATTGGGTTCCGAGCCAACTTTGGGAACCAAAGTGCAGTGGTTCCCAAACTTTTCAGCTTTTGACCCACAAACTAACAGTGATTTTGATCAGGATTTTGGTGTTATTTTGTAGGGGTTGAAATATTATTTTGGAATCTGCTGTCAGATTTAATATTGGTGTAGGATTAAAAATTTATCCACATCCCTATAAATGTTGACAAACACCTCAAGAGCTTCTCTGAGTTTGATGAGACATTTTTTTAATATAATATTGACTTAGTTTAATTTATTTTTTTAGTGTTGCCTCTGGAAGCCATTGATTATTTGCTATTTATTTGTAAATAATAATTCAGATAACATGTATTAAAGCAGTTGTTGCCAACCCTGGTCCTGCAGGACTCCTGTCCCTCATGGTTCAGGTGAGTCCGTTTAAAGACCTGCTCACAAGCAGGGAAACAAGTAAAACATGAAGGACAGGAGCACCAGGGTTGAACTTGTTCTGTAACACGTCTCACTATAAAGTTGTTGTAAAGCTTTAACCTAAACTGGACCCTCTCATCATATAGAAACTCAGATATAATAAAAAGCGGCGGGCGATACGCATTAATAAGGACTTTACTGCACTTATGGACCTTGTTTACATCCCTGTTTGTAGTCTTTCCGGTTGTGTTTGATCTGTTTAATGAAAAATGTTCACACACCAGCTTCGGTCCAAACACTAGGCCTGCCTCTTTACTTTGACGGGATCTTAAACAAACCCAGGTAAAGTTAAACCTGCAGTAAGTTTCTTTGTGAAAAGGCAGAGCGGGTTTTCTTACCGTGTCTTCGGCGTCAGCGGACTTGGAAATGTACTGAATGAGCTCGCTGTGTAAAAGCTGCAGAGGAGCTTCGTCAGCCATGTTTTTCCAGTAGAAACAAAAGTCTGTCAGCAGCTCATTCACTCAGATAAACAGATTTTAACAAACTGACAGCTTCCCACTACAAACATTTACTGCGTCAGTCAGACGCACAGCAGAGGGAGGGTTGTTGCACCTGTACCGCCACCATGTGGCCTGGAGGGACACTGACAGGTGAAAAGAGTTCAACTCTCTCTCTCTC